CAATCTCTTTTATATCCCATGCAAGTAAAGTTTTGCTAAAAGTAATACAGAAATGGCTACAATCATACATTGACAGAGAACTTCCAAGGTTCAAGCCGGATTCAGAAGAGGCCGTGGAACAAGGGATATCAAAGATGTTTACCTGTGCTTTATGGACTACACAAAGGCTTTCGATTGTGTGGATCATGACAAGCTATGGACAACATTGTGAAGTATGAGTATTCTGGAACACTTAATTGTGCTCTTGAGAAATCTGTACTTGGACCAAGAAGTAGTTGTTCGAACAGAACATGGAAACACTGAAGGGTTTAAAATTAAGAAAGGTGTATGACAAGGTTGTATTCTTTCACCGTACTTATTCAACCTGTATGCTGAGCAAATAATCCAAGAAGCTGGGTTGTATGAAGAAAAACGTGGCATCAGGATGGGAGGAATATCCATTAACCTGCGATATGCAGATGATACAACCTTGCTTGCGGAAAGTGAAGAGGACTTAAAACACTTACTGATGAAGATCAAAGAGCACAGCCTTCGATATGGATTGATGCTTTTGAGTTATGGTGTTGTAGGAGAATATTGAAAGTGCCATGAGCTGCCAAAAGAACCAATAGATCCGTTTTGGAAGAAGTGCAGCCAGAATGCTCCTTGGAGGCCAAGATGGCCAAACTTCGTCTCTCATATGTCAAACATATTGTCAGGAGGGACCTTTTGCTGGAGAAGTATATCATGTTTGGTATGGGGGAGGGTCAGAGAAAAAGAGGAAGACCCCCAGCGAGCTGGATTGGCCAGGTGACAGCATCGATGGACTCAAAGGAGGCAACAATAGTGAGGTTGGCCCAGGATTGGGCAATGTTTGGTTCTGCTGTGGATAAGGTCACTGTGAGTTGGTAAGGACTTGATGGCACTTAACAACAATAACAAACAGGGAAGAGCAGTTAATACCACTGTTATTCAAATTTAGGCACAGCCACTAAAGCCAGTGAGGATGAAATAGAAAAATTCTAACAACTTCAATCTGAAATTTTCTCTAGCCTGAGAATTTTTCCTCCCTGCTCACCCAGGTTCAGTAACCATTATAAATTGTTTTCTTTTTTCAAGAAAATCTTTTTTTTAACTTTTTTCAATGTTAGTCTCATATAGTATTTGTTCCTTTTTGATTGACTAATTTCGTTAATTGTAATGTCCTCCATTTTTATCAGTTTTGTTAGGTGCTTTGCAGATTCATCATTATTCTTTAATGTTGGGTGGTATTCCATTGTGTGGATCAAAGTTTGTTTACTCATTCGTCTGTTGATGGACATTTAGGCTGTGTCCATCTTTTTGACATGCCATATTGAAGAATCCTTTTTTCTTACTCCTTTGCTCTCTCTGTCTCTGAATTACATTCAGGACAATTATCAATCGGTATGAACACGGTCTTTTGCTGCGTGTTCTTTTGTGGTGCTGCTTTGTTCCACATCATTTTCTGCACTGAGTTCAGTTTGTTTTTTTGGTTTTCTTTTCATTTTCATTTCTGTTGTGGTAATGTTTACTAAATTTTCTTTTCCTCTTTTTTTAAATTTTTGTGTGCAGGTATGTGTATTTTTTTAAGATTACCCTATAATTTATTACCTTTTCCCCCTGTTTAAAACTTTTATCTTGAAATCTACTTGACTTCTTTTCTATTTGGAATCTCTGTATCTATACTATTCGCTCTTTTTGCTTTATAGTTGACTTCATTATAAATTTATATCTCTGAATCCCTATTGTCAGTCTTACAGGTTTATTTTACTTCAAATAGTTCTGTATCTGGATTGAGTTCTGGGTGGTGG